TAAGTCTTCCGCTGTGCTATCTTATACTTTGTATTGAAAGGTCGGTTCTTGTTCTGGTCTGCACCTATACGGTATGCAACAGTTCGGTATCGGAGCAGACCTCTCATTCAGAGGACCCGCTTAATCAAGTAGCAAGCTTGCTTGATCTATTGATCACTCATTAGTAAATCAAGTAGGACTTCGTCAAATCTCTGAAAAAAAAAAATTCTCGCAACAACTATCTGAAAATTTCCGATATTCGCATTTCGTTTTACCTGAAAATTTCTGATATTAGTATTTCGTTTTCACGTGACAAATATCTGAAAATTTCTGATAAATCGCATTTCGTTTTGTCTGAGAATTCCGATAGTAGCATTTCGTTTCTCTAATATTTCGCATACATAGCTGAAATTGCTTAAGTTAGTATTTCGTTTTCTAGGCATAATGGGATAACGATAGAAGTGGTCATATTCTTGGAAACCGAAATTATTCTTTTCTGAAAATCGAATTTCCATTCTATCTCGCAAATTTTTTTTTGAAAACCGAAATCTTGCGGAGCCTACCTAGGCATATTCAGAGGTTGCCATATTCTCAGAAACTGCACTTCGTTCTTTCTGAAAATCGCATCTTTACTCTATTCCGCAATTTTTTTTTTCAAAGATCACATTTTAGTGAAAGCCGAAACTTTGCGGAGCCTAGCCTAGATCTCGTTCATAATACTCTTCTGACATGTCTCACTCATCATAGATCGACAAATATATACAAAAAAAAAAAAAAAGGAAGTAGTCCTCTTTTATTTTTTTTATTTTATTTTATTTGTTGATTAGGGCCGGAGGAAAGCATTGTCGGGTTGGTTTCCTACCTACGTTTCCCCCCACCCACTCCTCTGCATGCATTTTCCGGGTTGGTACAGTGACACGTCAGCAGTGCCACGTCAGACACAGTGACACGTCAGCTACAGTGACACGTCAGCAGGCCACGTCAGCAGTTCCACGTCAGACACAGTGCCACGTAAGCAGTGCCACGTCAGACACAGTGCCA